CCCAAAGTCCATTTGTGCACTAGGGATAAACACTGGCTCCACTTTTAGAGGCCCTATAGACCGCCCAGGCCTCCTAGCTGGCACCCACATTCAGAGGGCTTGGTTTGGTCCAGTGCTGGGTGCCCAGTTTTACGGCTGGGTTATAAGGTAGAATCTTGAAGGTGCTATCTAAATTGATATTATGTTTCCTATGTTAATGTGAAATTTGTGTGGCAGTGCTAGTGCTATATTTTGTCAGTCATTATTTTTTCAAATCATCAAGTAACTCTTGCATTGTGATTTTGTTCCAAGAATCTGGAATAGCACCTAAATTTGTAAATTTTCTTCCATATTTCTCTTCAAGCTTCCATCTGAAGTGACAGATAAACCATTTCCAATACGGCTGGGTAGATAAGTCTGGAGTGATGCTCCATGTGGCATAATCACCTCCTGCTTCTCGATATTTCTTGTATGGGAATGTACGGTTATCACTTAAAATAAATGAATGATCACTTGCTACAGAATTAGTACAGATATTAGTGACAAAGTAGTCTGTTTTATGATAATGCCAACCATTGACAGCCTGAGGGCGGTGGAAAGGCACACTGTGGTCTCCTTCATGCTGGGGAATGGTGTTTGTACAAATTGCTTTACAAAAAGGACACTGTTTCCAACAGCCACAGAAATGCTCAGAGAGAATTTTCTCAATGTCAGGAACTATTTCATCTATGGGCCTCTCTGAGCAGTCCTCTTCTGCTTTCCTCATTGCAGGATCCAAAGCTGCACTCATGGCTTCTTTGAGAAAATCACTATCCTTAATCTCCTGGTGCTCGATGCTTATCAGGTCTCTTCTTGGAAAGATCAGGTTGCTCCCTAGGTGATCACAGAACAAATCCAACCATCCAGAAGCAGTGCTGCTTTCACTGTTAGCTACTTCTGTGGTCTTATAGATGGCAGTGAGGATGGCATTCTTGATGTCACCTAAAATTATTTTTAAAAAAGTTTTTCTTTTTTCACCTTCATTTTCTGAAAAGTATGTTCTAATCTGTTCACTAATGTAATCCCTGAAAAAGGATTGTGGCTGATGAATATATTGCCAATAGTTATCAAAGTTTTCTTTTTCTGCCAGAGAAATGAGAATACATCTCTCCAAGTTAGCCCTGTTTCCATTGAATACAGGGCAGGTGGCTCGCATGTCCTCAGCTACTTTAGGACCCATTTTGTCCCATACGGTGTCATAGATAGCAGGAGTGAGCTTGAGCCACAGGAAGTCAACAAAGGATGTGATGGAGGTGGCACCTTGGCAGGAGATCTTAAAACTCATGAAGAAATCATCTTTCTTCCTCTCCAGATAGTTCACAGGATCATTTGCTCTCTTGAAAGCCTTGTGCATTTCCTTGAATCTCTTGGATGCTCTTTGGAATAAGTATAATGATAAGTCAATGGTGTAGTCTCTGGTAAATGTGTAGTCTTTCTCAGGGGGAACAGATTTCAGTTCATTTTCTATTATCCTCAGGATTGTATGAAAGTCACTCTGACTGTAATCACGCTTTTGCTTCCAAATGTTTTTTATTGTTTCATCAAATATTAAAAGAGTGGTATTAACAGTTTCATCAATGGATTCTTTATGACAAGGTTCTAAACTCCTTGGAATTATATGATATCTTTTTTTCATTTGAACATGCTTGTCATAATTGATGCAAAATGTTTCTCCATTCTTTATTTTTAGTCTTTCTGCAATATTTTTGTCCTTTGCGAAATGATTTAGAAAAATGCTTTCAGCATCCCCATCTATGTTAGGTTCTGTGACAGGAGGTGCAGTAGAAGACACATTGTAGATCCAATTTGTCCAAACTTGATTGAATTTCTCACGCAACTCTTCATCACTTAACTCTTTACCTTTCACACTTAAAGCCAACTTTCGGCTCCTCTCTAACAACTCATTTTCATATTGTGACTTTTGTTTTTCTAGTCTTTCTTGGCTTTGTTTAAGACTAATGAGTTCATTGCCTTTACTTCTGGTGTCTGAAATAAGTGCATCTTTAAGAATCAGTAGCTTATGTTCAAAATTTGCTTTCCATTGAATCAATGTTTCACTATCTGGGTCTTGTTCAAAATACTTGTCAAATTCTTGCTTGATGGTTTCATATTTTCTGTTAAGTGGACCTTCCAGGGCATTAGTTGTGAGTGTAAGGATTTTCCCATTCTGAATCTGATTGTTCAGCTGATTCTGTAATTCCAGCACATGACTCCTCAGCTCCCAAGTCCAGTGGTTATACATGGTTTCCAGTTTACTCATGGCTATGACCTCTTGGGTGTTCCTGAAACTGAAAATGAAGTTCTCACTGACCAGGGCTTTCCACAAATCTTGAATTCGCAATTTTATATCTGAGATCTTCATGATTTTTCCCCTTGATTCCTGCTGGGCATTCCTAAGAATCCCAGTCTTCAACTCCTGGACATTATGACTATAGCAAGGATTGGGAGGAGCCATTGGTGGATTGCCATCCCAGAGGTGGGCAAAGTAGTAGACATGACTATTGGCATCAAATTTAATGACATCACTGAATCGGGTTATGTTTGTGCACTCTTCCTGTTCAGCAGCTAATGCTGTCATTTCATCTAGTCTCTGTTCTAGTCTCCTTCGTCCTTCCATAGTTTGGTCTTTTGCTGTTATTTCGCCTACATTCTGATGGACAAAGATGCAACTGGGGGAGATTTTCACTTGTTTCATTCTCAAAAAGGCCTGGACAACTATTTGTAGGATATCTTGCATCTCTGATGGATTCTCCCCAAAAATATTGATCAGAGTCAGGTTTCCTAGGCCAATGACAAATGTTGCCAACTCATCGTCCCAATTCTGGGATTTATTGTTGAGTTCTGGAGCTCGAAGTCCTTCTGTATCAACAGCAAGCATAAATTCAAAGCCAAGTTCTTCTGTGAATTTATCATCCACCTTTAGGAACTGCATGTAGGCCCCCTTGGTACATCTGCCTGCACTAACTGTGAACTCTAACCCAAACAGGGCATTCAGTAGGGTAGACTTCCCTGAGCTCTGCAGACCAAGGATAGAGAGAACAAACAGTCTTTTATCTCCAAGTTTCTCTGAGACCTTGTCAAAAACAGCTGCCACCCACTTTAGAGGCACATATGAAGCATCCCCATCCATGAGCTCAATGGGAACACCAGCTACCATCAGGTCTGCAACAATTCCTCTTCCAGTGTTTCTGGGGACTCAGATTTGTTTGCTTCTGTGAGAGATTTTTGGAATTCTTTTAAATTTTTAAGGAATTCAGAAGATTCAGTGATTAAGATTTGTTCTTCTTCTGACTCTGTCTGGGAGATCCACTGCATGATTGACTTCACCTGAGGAAAGTTTTTCACTTTGTAAACATGAGGTTCTAGAAGGCAGCGTAACTGAAGTTTAATAAAATGAGTATTCATAATGGAAGTGTTTTTGCAAAAGTTGACAGTTCTTATGAGAAAATTCTGTAGATTCAAATTTGTGAGGCATGTATTAATCCAAATATCATACCCTTTTGTTTTGTCAGCCAGTACTTGCATGAAATCCATCAGATTATTAAGTTGTTCTTCAGGGTTAGAGACTTCCCAGGATTTCATACCACCCAGGAAATGTCTTGCTTCCTTTATGGAACTCAACAACTTCTCTGTATCCTGGATGTTGGCAACAAGGCCTGTCAGAGCAGAGTAGTTGCCTGCCAGGCAGCTAGCCACCAGAAAGGGGTTCTTAAAATCATTTACGTGGTTAGATAAGATGATGTCCCAAATGGGCACCAGCTGAAGTTCTCGGTCAATGACAGACCAGGTTTTGTTGCTTGCAATAAGGCCAGTTGTCCACTGAGCAATTCCATTAGCTTCTGGCGGTCCACCTAACTGGGCCACAGATAATTGGACTTTCATTTGGAGCTGTTGATCAGTTGCCTTTGTGTAGGATCTTACTGAATGTGAGTCTGATATTGTCATCTCTCCCCCAACTTCAATAACAAAACCACTGTAGCTACCCCTTATGTAAGCATTCAAAGCTTCTGCTGTCTGTTGCTTTACATGATCCAGATGGTCACTTTTGAAACCCTCTGAAATGGCCTTCCAGCTGTAGATTCCCCCAAGGTGCAGAGGGCCTTGATTAGCATGAGAACCAAATCTGCTGAAGAAGTTTTCAGTCCTGTTCCTCACTACAAGGAATCTGTCTGGTCCATCAGTGTGTTCCAGCTGCTCTACAATGATTTTCAGTTCTTTGAGAGCAGCAGTGGAGAGCTGGAGCTGATCAATTCGAAAGTGGAAGGAGGCTAGTGGGTTGTAGCTAAATATTGATGAACAGAAATAAGAGTGCTTAGAATCTGATTGGTGGGTATCTTTGGATTCCGAATGTTTGACACTGTCCATCCCACTTTCAGTACTAAATCCCCAGCCTCCACCCTTGGCTGACAGCATTAACCTGAAACCGAGTTTCTCCACAGTTTCAGTGAACAGGGATTCTTCTTTGGAAGATGCAAACTCTTTTGTTTCCATCCGTTTACCTTGTTCAGATCCAAAGCGAAAGATTTCCTGAGGGACCCTGAGTAGTTCTTCTCTCCTTGCTACCAGGTCCTTTTGGTGGGAGGTCTTATAAATTCCTCGCAGGGCTAGCCCTCCAGATGCCCATTTACCAGGTCTCTATCTGAGAGATTTTCACTGTTTGCCAGTGTCTGTTCTATGTGACTGAGATGTCTCTCCATTGTTTCAGTGACGTCTTTTAGGGGCACTTCAAGTCCAGGCCAGCACTCTTCAGGGATCTCCATTGCCTGTCTCAGCTCTGCTTCTTTCCTCCTCACTGCCTCTTCCTGTCTGTGCTTCCCTTGTGACTGCAAGGCCCTCAGTTCCTGCAGTGCCTGTCCTGCCTGCCTCTGCCTGTTCTTTATCATCTGTCCTGGAGTCTCCTGGAACTCTGCAACACTATTTGGCTGTGAGAGGTCCAGCAGCTTCTCTAGGGCCTTTTTCTCCCATGTGTGTTGTGTCTGGGACTTCAGCTTCTGGAGGTCTTTTTCGTCTAAGTGTTGTAAAGCCTGGGCACAGGTCACACCCAGGTCTTCTTGAAGCTTAGGCAGCCAGTAGTCAACAGACAGCCCCACTTCTGTCAGCACCTCCTGGAGATTTTGCTGTCTTCTGCTTCTGTATTGAGACTCATCAGGGATGTTCTTTGTTGTTGCCATAGCTCTGTGAAGATCAGATTCATATTTAGTCTGTGTATCAGCTGTAAGAATTCTTTTCCACATTATTTAATGTGTGAGGGTTCTTAGGAAGCTAGTCTGCAAAGTTTTCCATGCCTTTATTGGGAGATGTCATTCTGTAAAAATGTGTCTGATTGGTTTGAATAAAGCACTGTTGGCCAATATGGAAGCAAGATAGGTGGGACTAGGAGTCGAGGAGGATTCTGAGAAAGAGGGACACAGGCAGACACAATGTTGGCTGCCAGAGTAGTAAGAGGTCTGGACCCTTTTCTATGGTAAGAGAAATACTCAGACTAACAATTATGGGTTAAATACGTAAGTCAGAGCTAGCCAGTAAAAAACAAGCAAATGGCCAACAGCTTCATAATTAATATAGTGTCTTGTGTGTTATTTGGGGACTGCAACTGTGGCAGGGCCCAGGCGGCCTGCAAGGAAGACTACAAGTTACATGCTTTCATCTAATTATATTATTTACAGTTGTTTAAAATCTTTGTTATATCCTTTTCTATTTGCTGCATATAATCTATGTGTCTAGCTATCATTAAGAGCTTCAATGTAATAAATTAATTTTAAGCATTTCCTCCTACATTGACTGAAGTTAAGAACCATTAAATTCATGGTTAAATTTGAATACATAGTTAGGTGGCACCCAATTTTTTATCTTAAAGTAAGAGTGATTTCCAAATGCTTAACTTTTCTGTATTTTTTCAATGAAAACTGTTTCCAGTGAAAATTCCTTGAATACATCTTAAATAATGTAGTATTGATTTGTTTATGTATGTCACTCATGTCTATTTTTTAATTTTTTTACCAGGATGCTATCATAGAGTCCTTTATATTGTGATCATACATTATGACTAAGGGAACTTATAAAAGAATCAGTTTAATTTCAGTCTTATGATGTCAAATAGTTAGAATCTATGACCATAGTGTCGGGGGGATGGCAGGGGCCAGGCAGGAATGTTACCGGAGCAGTAAATGAGAGCTCACAGTTTGAAACACAAGTTCAATACAGACAGAAATTGAGTTTGTGTGTATCTCTCTGTGTGTAGGTGTGTGTGTGTGTGTGTGTGTGTGAGAGAGAGAGAGAGAGAGAGAGAGAAAGAGAGACAGAGAGAGAGAGAGAGAGAGAGAGAGAGAGAGAGAGAGAGAGAAAGCAAGAGGAAGTCAGAGACAGAGAGAGTCACAGACAGACAGAGACACAATCAGACATGGAGACACAGAGAAAGACAGACAGGGAGAGAAGGGAGGGAAATGTAAGGAGAGATTAGCAAGACAGACAGACAGAAAGATAGATAGATAGATAGATAGATAGATAGATAGATAGATAGATATTGGGAATGTCTTGAATCTTTTGAAACCTCAAAGCCAGCCTCTGGTGACATACCTCCTTCAACATGGGCACACCTCCTAATCCTTCAAAAGGAGTTCCACCAACTGGGTACTAAGAATTCATATAAATGAGACTATGACTATTCTCATTCAAGCCACCACCTAATACTCCCAAAAAATCCATGGCTATTGAATAATGCAAAGTGTATATAGTCCAATTTGAAAAGTCCTCATATTCTTTCAGTCTCAACACAGTTTAAAATCCAGTCTCTTCTGAGACTGAGGACAATTTCTGAATTGTAATTCCCCATAAAATCAATAATGAAAATTACATATTTTCAATATACAATTGCAGAGAATATAAATTACCATTTCAGAGGACATACACAGGAGCAACACTATAATAAAACAGCACAAACTCCAAATCCCATAATGACTCTCTGTCTTATGTCAAAGGCTGTAAATGGCTCTATTATTCCAGTTTTGT